CACACACATATACACGCACATACGCACACATGCACACACACATACGCACATACACACATACATACACGTACACATGCATACGTATACACACAAACGCACGCGCACACACACACACACACACACACACACACACACACACACACACGCACACACACACACACTCAAAACAGGTCTCATACGAGAGCCAATGGTACTGCCCATAATGTGTATTCAATTCAAAACATGTGTATTTATCTGATGGCACATATGTTATTTTACATCATTTGGTATTTCGTGTCACGTGTGATTTGTCATGTCACGTGACCTATATCATGACACGTGTGTTATTTCTTGACACAAGTGTTATCTCATACCAGTCTTATACCAGGTGTTTTAAATCATGCCACGGCATTATCCCACGCCACATGTGTTATCTCACGCCACGTGGATCATTCCACGCCACTTGTGTTATGTCACGCCACGCGTATTATCCCATACAACCTGTATTACCTCACACTAAACGTGTGAATCTGATGTCATGCGAGTTATCCCATGCCACGCGTGTTATCCTACGCGCGGTGTGTTACCTAATGCCACCACATGTGTGTCTGTTTCAGAGAGCGCGTGTCCCAGATCTGCTCCGTGTCTCAGAAAGCCTCCGAGTCGTTCACCAACAGAGCTCTCTTCTCGCGAAAGTACAAGTTTCTCTACTGCCCCGTGGAGAAAACAGCATCCACCTTCTGGAGACGGTTCTTTTACCAGCTCATCTACACACACCCGGTCAAGTAAGTATCATTGTCATTGTCAGATAGATTTTAGGCGTGCTTTCGACACATTTTAGGTCATATTATCAGCTTATCTATACTCACCTAGTCAAGTAATAATTGTTGTTGTTAGATTTGTATGACCAATATGACACACTTTAGGTCATCAGCAGCTCATCTTCATACACCCGGTCAAGTAATTATTGTCATAGCCAGATGGAATGTATGCGCCTTTCGAAACATATTAGGTAATTCCTGCTTATCTTCACCCATCCAGTCAGGTAATTATTGTCATTGTCAGATAGTCCGAGTTGGCCCTTGTAGGTATAATAGGGTCGAAACAGCCAGCCTCCTAAACGGTCTATTGTATTGCATGTGGCACGAAGTACCATCAAATTCGATTGAGCGGCCACCTGTTCAAGTCCATCACCTGTACAAAACACCACTTTCGACTTCTTTCATAGCTTTTGTTCATATTATGATCATACTGTCCAAGACCCTCATCTGTCTAAGACAACCACTTTCACCCTCGACAACGGATGGCTGTCTCGGATAATTTTGACCATATTTTCAATAATTCATTCCACGCTTTCTCTATAACCCCGAGCAGACGCTAACACGCCGGGTTCCCGAGTTGCACAACACTTAGACAAAGCAAACAAACCTACGTGGGTGGTTGGCGGGTGCTCTGGTGTGGTTTGCTCCTTCTGCCCTATCAAACATCTATCGTCCTTATCTCCCCTTTTTCTTTTTTATGTTTGTTACTCTCTTGTAGCACCTCTAATTTTCCGGCGCTCATATGACCTTATGCAGTTGCGAGCGCCGTAAAACCTCTCCTAAAACTTAAAAAACAAACCTACCAGAGTGGAGTGCTCTTTACATCAGGGGAGACGACAATTAATTAATAAAGAAGAGTTTGACTGAATCTTTTCTTTGAGTTATCTCCCATGAACAGGGCTTCCCCGATTGAATCATGATTTGATTGGTTG